GGTGCCTTCGCCAGCACCCTCGTCCCGCCTTGCCTTGCCCTCAAGGCGATCGAATATTGCTCCGACCGCCTCTTCTCCTGAGGCGTGACTAGTGGCGATGTCCAGGAGTTCCTTGGTGATTCGCGGGCCCTTGCATCCCAGCTTATGAACCAACGACTCGCAGGTTGTCCCGGACAGGAAGGCTCCTATCACGTCTGCGCCGGCGACGTTAGGGAGCTCGTTGCACTATCGGGAGAAGCACCGGATGTACCCACAGAGGGTCAAACCAGCCTTCTGACGGTAGTTCTTGAGGTCCCATGGGTTCCCAGGGCGCTTGTATGTGCCCTAGAAGTTTCCCACAAAGATCTCCTTCAGATCCGCCCAACTCTGAATTGCGTTGGACGGTAGGTGTTCCAACCATGCTCGTGCCAAATTAGCCAAGAACAGTGGAAGGTTACGAATAATGAACTCATCATTATCTGCACCATCGGCTTGACAGGCAAGCCGATAGTCTTCGAGCCAAAGTCCGGGGTTTGTCTCCCCAGAGTACTTAGGGATATTGGGAGGTGGTCGGTACCGTGGCAGGAAAGCAGCATTGAGGATGTGCCGGCCGAAGGCCTGAGGGCCTGGCAGGCTGGGGCTCGGGCTCCGGTCCTCACCACTGTCGTAGCGTCCGCCACGACGAGGATGATAGCCACGGTGGGCTCCTTCTCTCGGGTCGCTATAGGTGCGTCTGCGGGCGTTGAGGGTGCTGCGTGCGTCGCGGTTATAGCCAAGACGCTGATGTATCTGGACCACAGCGCGCTGCCTGCCGCCTTATGGTGCCTGGTGGACTAATGCGTCCCAGGTGGGGCACACCGAGGGCGTGCGCTGGCTGGTGTCGAGCTCGCATCGCCGAGACAACGAGCTTTCCGCCTGCTGTGCCGCCGTACGATCGAGTAGCGTGTGAATCTCACGGTGGACCCGACGATCCTTGGGCGTTGTGGCCTCTAGAAGGCCATGGAGCAAGGCCGTTGCGGCGGCGATGTTCTGGCTTACCCGAGCGAAGTGAGGAAGGGTTTCATCATCGACGATGATCCTTTGATTCACATCACGGGCCACGGCGCGTGCGCGCCCGCCGTCTCCACGGCGTTCGACCTCCGCGTATTCCCGCACAAGCTGGAGTTTGGCTTCATCGATCTCCCACTTTTGGGCTCTTAGCTACTCTACCCGTATGTGAGGTGGGGCCGCTGTCCCCCTTTGGTTCCATCGCTGAGGTTGCCCGGCGGGGTAGCCTCCTCCGTGGAGATGCTTTCGACGTGTCTCTCGGGGGTACCCGCCATGAAACATTCCTGGGAGGGGTGATGGCTCCCTCTGCCAGAGTCAGAGCCAGAGTCTGACCCTGGCTCCTCTGTGAGGATGCCGTGGAGGGATTCTGTGATGCTTTCGATCATCCCTATGAACTCATTGTTCACGGGGGACGGGATCGTGCGCTGTGCCACAAGGTGGCTAACGGTCGCCGCGGCGTTGCGGAGACCGAACGGAAGCGCCATCGAGGCGCTCCGTGTGGAGTGTTCTAGTGAGAGGGTGAGGCGGCGCGGGTCCTCCCTGGACAACCGGGGTCCAAGGGAGACGCCGGGCTGGTGCTCAAGCCTCCCGTAGTTGAAGCCAATGGAGGGGAGAGATTGGATGGCGGCGTGGGCCAACGCCAACTCTCCTCCCACCATGACGATGAAGTTCAGGTCACCGAAACGCACGTGTGCGCTCGGGACCCAGCCGATTGCGTGGCTAGCCATCGGAGGCCTGATTTGGAACGCGCAAATGCCCCTACCTGGCGCACCAACTGTCTGTGTTTCGAACAAACACCAACTAGTAAATTTATATTTGTTGTGCGTTAGGCTCGGATGGTGTACTAAAGGACACAAGGCTTATATTGGTTCGGGCTGAATATCCCTACGTCTAGTTCGCTGTTGCTCGTGTTATTAGTACCGAAAAAGTTTCGTAGTAGGGGGTACAAACGGCCGAGAAAGGGACAGGTCCCAAGTCTCTGATGGAAAGGTCGAAAGGATGCCGAGAGCTCGGTTGCTGCTTGGCTGTGTGTTGTGTGTGGAATCGATCCGTCCCCTTAGCGGGGTGTCCTGCCCTCCCTTTTATAGACCAAGGGGGAGCAGGGGTTACAGATGGGAGAAAGAGGAAAAAAACAAAGGTAGAGAAGGTCCTTCGAAGGTGCCGGGTCTTCCTTTTTCCTTGAGCCTGCCCTGCTGACATGGCAGATCACGCCAGGGATAGCATGTTTCGCTGATCCTGATAGGGCCGGGCTCTGGCTTCGTTTCAGCGAGTGGTCACGTCCCATCCTCCCCCGGTGGACGGTGCGGTGTGTCAGGGTGCCGAGCCATGACTCTGTGAGGAGTAGACGGGGAAATGACTATACGCCTGTTACTGTTGATGGCGTGAGTTCCCTCTTGGATTGTAGTGGTTGTCGTGTGCTCATGTTAGGATCCGTGCCCGAGGGCTGATGGCGACGCCCACAACACTGTAAGACCAAAGTCGGTGCCCACAACACTGTAAGACCATAGTCGGCACCTACAACACTGTTCGGGCTCTGCCATGCCTGGAAGGGCTTAACGTGCCCGTCCCGTCGTATCCTGACGGTACCTTTCTGCAGGCGTGCAGGGTATGGTCCTCGGTACTGCGGTTGACTCGAATGTCTCGTCTTACCTCGTGCTCGTCATCATGAAGGAGCAGAGCGCAGTCGTCGGGCGAGGCGGAGCCTGCCCTCAGGCGTCGGGTGAGGCGGAGCCAGCCCTCAGCCGTCGGGCGACGGAGCCTGCCCTCAGACGTCGGGCGATGCTGAGCCAGCCCTCAGCCGTCGGGCGAGGCGGAGCCTGCCCTCGGACGTCGGGCGATGCGGAGCCAGCCCTCAGCCGTCGGGCGAGGCGGAGCCAGCCCTCGGACGTCGGGCGATGCGGAGCCTGCCCTCGGACGTCGGGCGAGGCGGGGTCTAGCCCTCGGGGGTCGGGCGAGGCGGAACCAATCTTCCGTCGTTCGGGCAAGAAGTGTAGTAGCGTTCTTGTCTGACCGGAAGCGTCAACGTTTGATGGTTATTAGTTCCACCTCATTGGGTACCCCGGTATTAGGTCCTCGACAATGTGCATGAGCTAGTTTTTTTCTTTCTTCTATTAAAATATGAAACAATGTTTTGAACTAGCTCATAAGTCACCATTGGAGCTGCCTTTTAATATATATTAAAAATAATATATAGAAAAATTAAAATGTCTTATATAATTTAAACAGGATAAAATAAGTGGTGAATAGTCGCTTCCTCTTACAATGTTTTTTTTTGAAACATGGAAATTCCATTACTCAGTAACTGGGCCAAATTGTTGGCCAACCGTTCATAGATACAAATTGGGATACTGTAAAAAAAACAGAAGCACTATCTGAACTCAACTTATACCCTAGAGCCACCAAACCATGGGCAACTAGATTACAAGACCGAGGATTATGAATTACTAGCTCTATCCCAAATTATAAGACATTTGACTTTTTTGACATCAAGTTTGACCACTCGTCTTATTTAAAAATTTATGCAAAATGTCACTTCTTTTGTCGTGGCTTGCTTTATTAATAAAAGTTCTTCAAGAATGACTTAAATTTGACTATGTTTGCACAAATCTTTTGAAGAAGACGAGAGTGATCAAACTTAGAATCAAAAAATATCAAACGTCTTATAATTTAGGATGGAGGGAGTCTACCCATGAATTAAGTTACATCGCAAACCAACCCGCTAGCCGAATTTCGATCAGCATCAGAAGACGGCTGCCTAGACCACCATCATCGCATCCATCTCCAGTATGATCTTTTGCAAACCGAGGTCAGCCTCTCTGTAATACCTACAAGCAAGCAATGAGCTCCGCGTGACATGGTTCCAGCACTCTTCCCAATCTGCCAAAGCCGGTAGTGATCACTTCCCCTTCAGAGCTGCGGATGACAAAAGCCCCAACCACCCCCGATCGTTCCTCCTGCTGGAAAGCCCATCACAATTTATTTTCGCAACTGTCTTGGGGTGGCTTTCTCCATTTTTTCTTCCGTCGAGTTGACGGCACCTCTTGCCGTTTTAGTGTCGACTCTGCATAAGTTTGGACTAAGGGGGTGTTTTGTCTCATCGAATGTTTGATATATGTATGGAGTATTAAATATAGACTAATTATAAAATTAATTGCATTATTTGCGACTTATTTGTGAAACGAATCTTTTAAGCCTAATTAGTCCATGATTTTTAACAATATGGTGCCACAGTAAATATGTGCCGTAGAGTACTTACGGATTATGTAATTTGTTTTTTTATTAGTATCCGAACACCCCATACAACATCCTCCCGACATACCTCCTAAATTTTAGTCACCGGATCCAAACACCGCCTAACTACGCTAAGCTAGCAGCACTTCTTGGTAGCTCCCCTTCACGTGCACCACACCATTCTAACCACCACTCACTGATACAGCAGGATGGCCACTTGGGTCTGTAGTTTTCCCGTGAATTTCAGACTCTCACCGATCACTTCCTTGCCCGAAAGGTCTGTCGTTAGTTTTTCCGTCAGGACCTGTTTGGTCCTCGAAATGAAGGCTGGAACGATTCCCGGCTGAAACGATCGTCTAATTTGTATAACATTGACCGAATAATTCCTCGCCTCAATGCTGGCCTTACGTGTTTCAGGTTCAGTTCACTCCATAACTTCCGCAGAATGAACAATGTTGGTGTGCGGAAGACAACGACTCGCGAGCCGGTAACAACATACCCGCTCGAGAATTTTGACTCCATTCGAAGCATTTTACACAATACTCAAAATATTTTCATCGGGGGAAAAAAAAAGGCACACACCGAACACAGTGCACCCACCAGGAAGGAACACAGGGCAGTCTGAGCAACCGGCACCGGTCTATGCACCGAGTCCACAAGGCTCCCCCACCTCGAACCCACCGATCATCGCCGTCGCCGTACCCGTCTAAAAATACCTCCCGATCTCCGACGAGTTGTCAACTATGGCATCTCCCGCGCACCCGGCGACCCACCGCCCGCGCCTCCGCTTCCGGCGGCCTCTTCGCGCGCAGCCGCCGCCGCCGCGGCTGCCTACTCCCTCTTTCTACTCCCGCCGCCCCTCCGCACCCCAGGTGAAGTCCCAGATCCCTCGCCACCTTCTTCCTCCTCTGGGTAGAGTTCTCCTCGTGATTGTCGCCTTCCTGGCATTCGTAGAGATGCTTGCGTGAATGCGCGAAGTCAAGTGATCTCCGATTTTTCGCCCTGTTTCACGTGTCAGCAGCATTTTTGCGCGACTTCGCGTAGTTCGATTCGATGCCGTTTTATCGGGATATTCGCCCGAAATAGTCAGTCTGTTTCTGTAGCAAAAAAACGAATGTTCTGTGTAGTGCTTGCATGAACATTACTAGGCTTGTACCGTTGTGCGTGGGGTACGATTTGGGGCGTTTGTGATATGAGTTGATAACCACTTTATATCAGCAGCAAGAAGCTGCAAGCAGCCTTACAGAGTATATGTTTACAGAGGCCAGTGCATTCAACAGAGGGCACTGGTGATCATGATTGCTATAGGAGCACATATGCTCAAAAGATGCATTAGTAGGAACATTGGCAGAGAAGGCCTGTCTAGCCAGGGCATCAGCCGTGGTGTTTAGTGTCCTACTGATGTTGTAGATCTTCGCTCGTCGACGATTGGCACAGTTGGCAAACAACTGGGTATAAGGTTTCATTCTCCAGTCCGGAGGATGTTCTTGATCAGCTTCATTTAGGAAATGGACCAACTGCTTGCAGTCAGACAAGAAGGCTGTGTTGTTGAAGTTGAGCAAATCAGTGACTGTTGCTGCAAGTGAAAGAGCTGCAGCCTCAGCCATGATGACCGAGTGAGCATCGGACATGATGGCCTTGATGTAGATCGTTTGTGCCGGCTGTACCTGCGTATTAACTAGAAGAACTCCAAGGCCAGCTGCTCTTGGTGACATCAAAGGCTGGTCAGGCAGCAAGGAGGCATCAACATAGCACCTGACACCGGGCAGTAGAGCTGGCATGAGGATGGTGTACCTGTCCATCTGGGTGGTACCGATCCCCTGGTCGAGGCTGGGAGCCTGGGAACCTGCTGCAGTAAAGGTTTGTATACCAGATACTTGACTCGGAGTGGTGGCCATGACTGGATCGTCATTGTGATGGTGGAGTGTGGTGGGGTTGGTGGTGTTACCTGCAAGTATAGAGGTCATACCTGAATTGGCAATGTGTGGATGCAAGTAGGTCGTTCCTTGCTGCTTGTGGTTGTTGTGTCCGAATGGTTGGTTCAGGTAAGTGCTAGCAGTCGCTGGGTGAAGATGACTGTGCTCCGAGTTTGTTGCCTGGTTGGCTGTGATGTTGTTTCCTGTTTGTTGCACCTGGTGATGAGTTGTGATGTGTGCAGCCACGGCGTGATGAACCTGCCAAGGAGTCCAAGATTTTCTCTGGAATCGAGTGTCGGTTGTATATTTTAGTCCCTCCGTCCAGGAAAGAATGCAATTCTCGCTTTTCGAGGAGTCAAACAGTTTAAACTTTGACTAAATTTATATAAAAAACTATTATCATTCATGATATAAAATAAGTACTGTTAGATTAGTTATAGAATATATTTTCATAATAAATTTTGTTTTGAGACATAAATGCTAATATTATTTACTATAAACTCGGTCAAACTTGAGTTACTTTGAATGGCACGGATCCCATAATTGCATTCTTTGCTGGACGGAGGGAGTACTTATATAAGCCAATGTTTGTCCCATTTAGCTTTTGTTTCGCCAATGGGGAGCGTTTGAAGTTGTGCAGTTAGTCTCAGTGGCCACTATCTTCTGCAGGTATCCCAATTAAGAGCCATCGCGTCAAGACCTTCAAGGAGGTGTCATGCTGTTCAAACTGTCACAGCATTTGATGATGTACTGTGACACCTCTCCACTTTTAGTTACAATATTTCACTATGAAGTAGCTTGTATTATGATTTATATTTGACAGTGATTTGGTGCAGGATCCTGGGGATTTCTCGCTGGCGCATGATGATGGGGACTTCTCGCTGGCGCATGACGACGGGGACGAGCAGTTTGGTGTTGCTCCATATTCGAGTGAGAGTGAATGGAGTGATGATGATGTTGTTGTATTGACCGCATTCACGGATGTTGAGTTGCCGATGACAGTCAAGAACCGGGCTGAGGGCGCATTAACTATAGCTGCCCATAGGCTCTCCACAATTGACAAAGGGCATAAGAAGAGTAGGTAAGAGTGCTAAGACAATTAGCTTTCCATATTTTGAAAAACAAATAGCTTTCTAGACAATCCTAAAATCTAGTGGTTGAGTACCTGAGGTGTGTATTATAGTTTACCTTCTTTTCTGTATTGGAAAAGGGGCTGTAGAATAGCAGCTTTGCATCTTTTGGTTGGCAGTGAAAGAGGCTTATGTGCAATAATTCAGATGCTTATATGGACAAAGTAATGTACCAAAATAGGAATATGGCTATTTGTTAATTTTTTATGGGACGCGTAGCAATTATTGAACTATCCTAGTAGTAGTAGTAGTAGTAGTAGTACAATAAGAGCATGTATGCTACTATCTTCCAGGTTTAATACTATATCTCAAGGGAATGTTGCAATTCTTGTTTGTCGTGGTAAATGAAACAGAAAGTATGCCATACTACTAATATGGACAGATAAGCTTTTTTCCATCTGATTTAGTTAGGCTCTAACTAAGTTCTTTACATCGATTCCCAGAACTCAACAAGGGCTGATGAATAATGTTGGACTGGTTGCTTTCTTAGCAATATTACTTTTCTTTGTCGACTGGTGTTCTTGGAAGATTGTTAGACTACCACTGGACTCCTTTTACTTGACACGCCCTTTTTTAATATCAGTAGTTTTATCAGCACTTGCTGGATTTCTTTTTGCACCAGTCGCTGATAGCCTGAAGATCCACCATTTCCGGAGGAGAGGAAAGTCTGTTTCTCCGTCAAGTAGAAAGCCAACCCCGGCAATGGGAGGATTATTCTTTGTTCCTGTTGGTATTTTTGTTGCAAAAAGAGAGGTTGGTTACAACTCGAATGGAGTTAATGGAGCAGCTATGATTACCCTCATATTTGCGATGGTTGGGTTGCTTGATGATATTTCGAGTCTTGCGTCAGATGGCAGTCATAAAATACCGCAATGGATAAGGTTCTTGGTTCAAGTGAGTTGTTCTTTTCCAAAGTGTCAATGTGAAAATATGCTGTCCTTTCCTATTACATTGAATTGAACTTTCTTACTATCTTGTGTATTTTGCAGATTGTTGCTGGCATTTACTTCTCTATCTGGTTGGGTTCTGCAGATATTTCAACACCATATAACATGTAAGCATTCGTGTAACTTATATATGCCTTACTCCATCTACAGCTTGATTGATTCCAGTTTATCAATGAAGGAAATTTCTGGTTCCTCTGCCTCCTCCTTTTGGCCTTGCACTCATTGGAAAAGTATATATGGTTCTGGCTGCTACATGTTCACTTTCGATGGGGCCGGCAGTAACACTGGTTGATGGTCTTGATGGTTTGGCTGGTGGTATTGCTGCTTTAGCACCCAGAATGCTTGTTCATTGCGTGATGATATTGGAATTTAAAGTATTTGCCAAGGATGTGATGAAAGCCCTTTTAGTATCGTTTCTACAACAGTGAGCAGCATAACTTAAGACAAACATAACTAATCTGACTTTGCTTTTTGCATATTTCTGCTCCTTCTTCCTATTTCCTGCTGAAAGCTAAAGCTATAATGTTTCTGTCACATATCCCTCGTTATATGTGCATTCTGATCAGTTTGCATCACCGGATTTTATGTGTAGCATTATAGCATACCATCATCCAATGTTTTGAGTTATATTTGTGGTCTACTTAGAATCAAGGGTGCTGCTGTCAAAGTTCAACTAGCATTTGTTTCATTTGTTTGCATTTTTGTAGGGTCATGACCTTCTCAATTCAGAACATAACCATATGGTCTAATTTCTTTTGGTGCTCAGGTTCCTTTTCATATGGCTACAAATTCTTTCTGCGGAACAAGCAGACATCCCCTGAAAATCCGTCCCTCACATTACTACCTCAGATTGTTAGGCATAAAGGAACCTTATATTGTGGCGGGTGCATACATGATATCATGCTTCTTATCTCTGTTGGCAGGATACCTTGGCCTTGTTTCAGCGTAGATGAGTAGCATTCTTTCATTGTTTTCTTTTTCAGTTGTGGTACATGACATAATTCAGGCAGCCGTTATTGCTTCATTTTTGCCGGATCTGTGTTTCAGTGATATGAAATTAACAGATATAGAGGAACTGTAGAGTGAGGCCTGTAGAATTCCTCAAAAAGGGACCGTGCGGTATGCTCCGCTTGTACCGTGAGCTGTTGGTATTTGAATGTAATTTGTTTGTGAGCTAGATGAATAGCGTTTCAAAATTCAAAATGTATCTACTCAGGCAAGTCTTCCTTTTACAATGGATCAGTTAGCCTTGCTTGCAAGAAGGAAGTTTAGATGAACTTTACCATGGTTAAAGTTTTTTTATCCTGTTTAGGCCATGCTATTGGCACCTGACATCGCAATTACACGGGATGGCCCGGTTGATAGGCCCAAAGTACCGGGAATCATTATTGTTGCTCTTGCTCCCAGTCAGTGCACGTTTAATCGCTCTTTAATATTACACTGTATTAGGTATAGATATAGATTATATGGTGTTTCGATAGATAACAATGTTGTCATCGCATCAACGGTACTGTAGACTGTGGAGTAGTTAATTCCATTTTATTATTATTTATTTTTCGGGGTTTTATTTTGAGTCGAGGTCGAGCAGCCACCGTCCCTACTTGCAGATGGGATGCGATGTTGTAATATTGCGACTTCGGCAACATGTATCCTACTTGCGAATGGGATGCCATATTGCGATATTGTGACTTCGGCAACATACATGTATGTCTTTTGTGTCTTATCTGTGTTTTTTATATAAAAAAAACTTCTTTCTTTTCTTCTTGCAAGCAAGCTTCTTTGTGCCTTCTGTGAGCAGCAACCACACCTTGTTTAAGTCTGCTAAGAGTGGTGTTTTTGCCCCCAACCACACTTTGTTTAAGTAAGGCTGCTAAGATTGGCAAGCACAGCAAGCTAACTAGAGGTTCAGTTCTATTCAGGAAAAGGCAGATGCTTGATGTTAAAAAAAAAAAAACTCTAGCGGCATCTGATTGATTTCAAAATGAATAAGTCTATTTTGACCACTTAACTCTTCTATTTGCCAAATTTTGTCCGTGAATTCCGATATCATCTAAATGGTACCTCAGCTATTGATAGTGTTCAATTTTGACCCCAAGATCCATCTTTAGTGTGGTTTTCAATCAACGTAGCCATGTTTGCCTCTAAGTTGTCATTTTTCTATAAAAAAAAATTGTAGCTGGTCGCTTGAACTTATCAGCCGTACCGTTTCAGCAAAATAACAGTGTTTTTCTCTCACAACAAATCAGCATCAGCATCAGCCGTTTTTCCAGCCAGCCGAACAGGTTAAGTCTACCTAGATATGTCCTAGGTCAAACCTTTTAACTCTGTCCAACATCTAGTTTCTTTAAAGAAAAAAGACAGTGCATGTTCTCCTCACTAAAGAAAAGAAGCAGCCAGAGAATAACAGTGCTTGATGGAAACTAGAATTGGAAAACAAAAAAGTAAAAATAAACAAAAAAAATGGTAAATGATTTTCAAAATCCTTAGTCCAATAGCGCTGTTCTGAAATTTTACTGGATTCTGCCTGTGGCGTCACATGACTTCGCTTGTGCCATTTTCTACTTGTAGATTCTGCTCCTGCGTCACAATGACTTGCGTGGATCCAGATTGCTGTATATTTATATTATTATTCGCAGTACTGATTTCCATGTCGTTAGTTTATTCTTAATAATTGCACCTGTCAGTTGTTAATGTGGACCTTGGTCGGGAGCCTTTCAGGGTTCTTTGCATTGCATCCTCCAGTTGTGGATCAGCTCTCATGTCACCTCAGAAACCGTCTAGTACTCCCAATCATTGCATCACTGTGGGCCGGGAGGGGCAGTTCGGACCCAACCCAAGACCGGGAATGACGTGGGCGCGTGCGCATCAGTCCAGGCTGGCAGTCTGCTAGCTGGGCAATGTCGATGTAGTATTTATGATATGAAATGAAGAAGGGAGATCGTGATGCTGCAAATATTTTAGTCACGGGGCTAGTTTAATCGTCGTGCTTTGAAAATTATAATATTGCAAATGTGTGTTTGTGCCTTTTCTATGCAAGGGAAAAATGATGCAGAGTTGGTCTACGTACGCATCTCGCAATCACGTACGTAAGGATCTTCTTCGAACCTAAGCGTGAGCGACGACCTCGCTCCCGTCATCGACGGCTTGTATGTATAATATATAATACATTACGTACTGTAGACTATTACATATAAATGCATCCGGATCGAATGCAAATCTGAAAGTCAGCAAGGAGATCGTGATGCAAGCAAGGGCCAGATAGATCGTTGCAAACTTAAGGTAGAGCGATTTGAGGCTGCGTTATCGCTGTCCACGTACAGGTAAATGCAGCAAATCCTTAAATGTTTTGTTGTTTTCGTTTTCTAAAAACTAACTTTGACTAAATATATATTAAAAAATATTAATATTTATGACACATAATTAGTATAATTGAATAGATATTTGAATCTAGTTTTTAACAAATTTATTTGGATACATAAATGTTGCACGTAATTTTTATAAATCGAGTCAAATTTATTGGCACGCAAAACGCGACGACACACATTTAGGGACAGAGGAGAGTACTCTTGCATTCTAAAAAAGTGTTATTTTAATAATAAATCTGAACAAATATTTATCCAGTTTTACTTTAAAACAATGATCTTTTTAAGAAAGAGGGAGTCGATGTTCACGCCGCAGGCTGAGAAAACGCACTCGCAAGAGCGCGACTCAACTCGCAGCTCGTGTTTATCAAAAATTAAAAAAAATCGCAGCTCGTGGATCGCGAGGTTCTCATGTTGCATGTCATGTCGGGACAAAAAGGGCACTGTAGTCTACTACTACTACTCCTACTAGTAGGCTACTAGAACTTGAATCATTGGATAACCGATGGATAAGATTGCGACGCGCCGGCTATCCCAGGCGGTGGTGGTAAAAACATCGACATCGACAGTTGCTGGCTATGGTGGCTGACGGGACTACCGAAACATTGCCAAATTAAAACCTCCTCGCTTGGAGCCGTGCAAACCATTTTTAGGAATGTTTGGTTTTGATAGCCCAGTTTCGTCCCTTTCTTTCTCGTTTCTGGTACTAGCGAACATGTTTTTTGCGTTATAATAGAACATATAGCATCCGTTATCTGTTCTAATATATTTTAAAATTAGACTTTGTACGTACCTTGACTGAGCTTCCACTATTGTATTAAAATTGTACTCTTTTATATATATACGCATACACGGATATGCGATGTCATTGCTGTTGTCGTGGTAATTTTGCTTTCGCCGCGGCGGGGCAGCAGACACACAAAAACGGAGGGCTTGGTTCTTCTGATCGGACGGCCTTGCCTGGCTCAATCTGGCTGCACGGAGCACGAGAAGCTTGCCTAGCTAAGTGAGCCAATTTGGCTCTCTCAGTTGGGCAAGGCCTTGTTTAGTTGGCGAAATTTTTTGAAAAATGGTACTGTAACACTTTCGTTGTTATTTAGCAATTAGTGTCCAATCATAGTGTAATTAGGCTTAAAAGATTTGTCTCGTGAATTTCGTCTAAACTGTGTAATTAGTTTTATTTTTTATTTATATTTAATGCTTCATGCATGCGTCCAAAGATTCGATGTGATGGAAAATCTTGAAAAAATTTGTAAAATTTTGGAAACTAAACAGGCACCAAGGCAAAAACTTGCTGGCATAGGTTTTGAGATCTTCAGGCAAGTCATCCAAACACAGCAACCAGTTTCTATCCTCGCTCATCGAGGTGGTACAATGACCGGCGAAGGAACCAAGCAGGCCCGGAATGTTTGGTGGTAGCCCAGCCGCTGGCAGAGAAAACGTACTCACAAGAGCTAGCGCGACTCTTACGCCTCGCCTGCCCCGCTAGCACCGCTCGTGGTGGCCTTGCCTGCACGGTGAAGGAGGAACGGAAGCCGATGGCAATGTGACGGGGACGAAGAGAGATGCATGGCTTCGTGCCTTTGATTATTATTTTTTTTTGCTTGGTTGGATCCATCTCGCATATTATGAAGATAAAACTCCCCTTTGTAGATGGATCAATCGCACTCGAGAATTAAACACTAAATAAAAGAGAATTATCCTATTTTGTTCCACTTGGTCCCAGGCAATGTGTCAACTCCACTTCCTCCCAAAAACACGCACACAGTGTTTACTCCCAGGACCCCTCACGGCCTCACCGACTAGTGCCCGTGCGCGGCGATGCTGGGCACGTGACCAGAAGAAGCCACACGATTCGGGCATGGAGGAGGAGGATGACCCTAAACCGAAGGCTGGGCAGTGCTCCGTCGTGAAAAAATGATCCGTCGCGGTGGTCGATGGCACACGTCGAGCAGTGGGGGTGTGGGCGTACCGTCGTGAAAAAATGATCCGTCGCGGTGGTCGATGGCACACGTCGAGCAGTGGGGGTGTGGGAGTACCGTCGTGCAGTGTGCCTTCAACCACCGCGACGTTCCCTGCTGCCCTGTGCGAGCTAACAAGGGTTGAAGCAGTGGGGACGTGGGTGCGCCGTCATGCCATGGTCTCCTGGTCTGATAAGGTGACCTACGGTTTATGGGCTCGAGAGCCTAGGCGAAAGCCACGCCCGACTTGTCGGTTGCTATCGACGGCGACATCCTTGGGTGCCGTTAACCTTCTTGGAGGCGTCGATACAGCCTCTCCAACCATGTAGCTGTAGGATATCTCCAGGTGAAAGCCTAGCTCCAGTTCTCTGGGGCCGGTGGCGGTGGCATCGTTGATGTCGCGTCCTAGTTGTGGGCGTCGCGTGGAGGGTCGCCTCGGGCTTAACCACAACTCTTCTGCAGGGTCTTCTTTTGCTCACACCTCCTAATTAGGGGGCACAAGCTAGATACAGGATGATGGCTACTACTAGTGTCCTAGCTCTGATGTCCTCCAGGTTATTTGATGCATCTTCTCACCATATGCCGAGTTAGCGGGACCATGATCCTCTCTCTTAGATCTCCTCGTTCTCCAATCGTCGGTCCTCCAACCCTTAAGGCTTCCTCCCCTCTAGGGGCGTAGGTGGAAGGCGACTGGATCCCGGATGATCTCCATAGAAGATGTGCATCACGACTGTCGTCCGTCACCTTGACTTAGTGCCTTAATGTCGCATGTGGATTGGAGTTCATCGACGTTTTGCCTACTGGTGGTACTATGATCAACAACCATCGACATGTCTCTGTTGTGGGGGTTGTGGCTTGGTTTATCCCTGTAGCAGTTGGTGATGGTTGCTTTTTTTTCTCGCCTTTCTCCTTTGGTAACTCTGGGATCATGACCAACATTGTAACTACCATTACAGGCCCGGGCGCGCGCGATGCTGTTACGTTCACCGCCGCGCGGTTCAACGCACGTTGCTTCTCCTCGGGGTAAGCATGTCTGCTTGCGCGGTATACGCCGCCCCGTGCTTCCGTACGTGCGGCGGCAGCCACCGGCGCGCGCGGACGAGCGGGAAGCGACGTCGTGGTGGTACGTGCGGGAGCACGGCCGGTTAGCTTGCCTACCCAATGCTGGTACGGATGCTAATTATTGTTGCTCAAACACCCGGAATCCTGAATGGATGCTAACTATTGTTGCTAAGTCTATGTGCCTACTACGTACAGTACGTATACTGATTTCGGTTCTCGTGAGCAACGCCCTCCGGTCCGGTGAGTGAATTGGCACCAGCACGAGCCGCAGGCCGGCCGCTCATTCCGGGACGGACTACGGATCTGCTCAAATGACCATGGAGCGCTACAGTGCATCCGATTGCGCAAGTTGCGTTGCGTTCCATTTCAGGTGCCTAGTACTCGTAGGTTGCAACGTCAGATCTAGGAGCTGTTCTTGCACTGTGCCGGTAGCTAGCTAGACTTGTCGGCCACCTGCTGCTCTGTTCCTCTCAACGTCGGAGGGTCTTCGTTCCTGGTCGTGGCTCTCGAAGGCACGGGCAGATGCGCGAGGCCAACGTGAGGTGGCAAGCAACCTCTGCGTACGGCGGCCCTACATAAACACTCGTTGATTCCTGCGTAGTACCGAGCGTGCACCGGTGGAGACCAGCAGACCATTGATAGTAGATCCCACCTCGTGCGTGGGAACGTCCGTTTCGGGCACCTGATTACCTGAGCCAGACGGCATGACGGGAATTAAAATTCTGATGGATGGTGACCTGACCTGAACAACTCGTCGATCATTTGATTTGACTTGGGCGACTCCGCACAGTAAGGATCGGGATCGGATCGGGATCGGGATCGGAGTTCCTCGACTCAAAACACGCGAACAGTACTGGCGTGCGCGGCGCAGGCTTCCGGACGTCACGTGCCCGGTACCCCCATTGGCCATTGACCGCCAAAAAACGCGCAGAGACCAGACCACGGAGCCCGCCGGCCGGCGCTGCTTCTGTGTACGGGGAGTACTTGGGCTCCGCTCCTCGGCTCCCTGGCGGCGCGCGCGCGCATCCCGTCGATGATTGTTCGATCGGTTCGCGGTCCCGGGCGTCCCAGTTTGCGTGCGGATGCGGATGCGGCAGCCGGCAGGCGGCAACACGTGAAGGGCGTGAAGGCATATCTGACCGTGCCGGATCGTTGTTCTGGTGGTCATGGATAAGAGGAGAGGGAAGGCGGCAGCGGTAAGAGGAGAGGGAAGGCGGCGATGATTGGCCACCTCTTGTCGACCGCACCTGGACACATGGGCCACCCGGACGACCACATGCTTCCTTTTACCGCGGCTGATTGCCTGAGTTTTTTTTTTAATGTAATCCGTGAGCTGGATTGGACTTGGACGAATGCAGTTAAACCAACCATGAGGATTTGCTAGTCGCCAAAAAAAATGGAGGATTTGCTTCTCTGTCTGTCTTTTTTTGTGTGTGTGTGAAAACTACTTTGCGGGGACAGGAGGTGGGTGGCGCGGCGAGGCGATTTGCCGCCGGCCGCCGGTGGTGGGGGCGGGGGTGAGGAAGGCAGAGGCGCATCACGGGGAAGGTTAGGGGAGGGTAGGGACGGGAGGCGTGACCGGCGGCGAGGTAGCCGCTGGCCAGGGGCGATGGGGGAGAAGGTGGGGGTGGGGCAAGGACGAGCGCGAGCACAGGGTGGAACTAGGTCACGCATGACCGACGCGCTTTATCTCTATCCTACAGTTTCCCTCAGAGCATCTCCAAGAGTATCCTAATTTTTCTTCCTAAAAACTTGTAGTTTAGCAACTCCTAAAAAATTATTGGATGAATTAAACAAGACCATCTCCAAGAGTTTCTAATAATTCACTCTAAAAACATATTACAAAAGCATATTCCAATCATTCAATGACATTTTCGTTAATACGATCATCTTCTTCCTCCTAAGGAGAAGCACGTAGATGGTGGCCTTGCTGCCTTGTGCCTGTACCTGAGAACAAGCACGTACAAGTCGCACACTAGCAGCCACGACGCGGAGCCTTGGGCGCGGCGCCGGCGGCCTCACCGGCGCGGGCGAGCATAGGGCCACAACGGCACGGCAGCGGCGGCAGCACCGGCGCGGGCGAGCAGGGCCGCACGGCCGAGCTAGGAGCCACGACAAGCACGCCGACGAGCAGGATCTGCAGCGCCGCGGCGACGAAGAGGTCAGTTGGGCCACCGTGGACTCGGTGCACCTGAGCACAAAGCCGTTGCCGTAGTAGCCCCGGGGCAGCTCGGGCTTCAAGCGCCGCCGCACATTCACGGAGAAGAGAGCTTCTGCTCGCCAAGACGGGCGCGTCGAGCTCAAGGACGTCGGCATCCTCGTGGTGATGTGCAACCTGATCAACCCGACGCCGTGCGCAAGGGAGAGAGGAACACCGGAACTCCTGGTAAACCTGACGTTAGCATGCAGGATCCGCGCGACAGCAAGGGCGTGTATCTTTGCGCGGATTGTGTCATTTTTTCCCAAGTCCTAAAAGTTTAGGAGGTGGGATTAGGAGCTGTTGGAGATGAATTGTTTCAATCTCGCCAAAAAAACAAAGGATTGGGAGAGTGTTTTGGGAACTCTTGGAGATGCTCTCAGCTCCACAGTATTGGAAGAAGAAAGGACAATTGCGGCAAGTACATAGTACATACATACTGTACTGTACATGCATTGGCAATCATTGCTAAGGGTCCCATATCTACAATGGTCGTTTTATGTGTGGACTAATATTAACTCTACAATAATCTCTTGATTTGTGTTTTTATGGAAACAATGACTGTAAATGCATAGCAACAAATGATACCAAAACTAGCCGCATTGTCATAAAGTTTGAGCTTTATGAGATGTTGTTTTGGGACATTGTAGCTAGAGTAGCTTGGAACCTACCTCCAAACAGCTATGCTATGCGTGCTGGCCACATGCGGGTAGTGCGCCAGTGCCGTTGCCCTAGGAGGAAGAAGCAACAACATTATTCTAGCACGGCCACCCACCAGCTGGGAGCTTCCATTTCCATACTGATGAAATCTGAGAAGAATGAAACAGCATCACAAAAACGATGAAATGAATCGTGCCTCTCTCTGCTTTTTTTGGCCAAAAATTCACGGACGAAATTCATTGCAGATACGAGCAGTTTTCAGAACTGACTTAAGACACTCCTCCAGCACACGCACTGGGCCATGGGACGCAGTACAGCACCACACATGCGGTCACCAACCCACTTGTATTCAACAGCTGTTCATTCATGCTACTACTGGGACCCTGGCCTGGCCGAGCTGGGTCAGTCCAAGCCAACCAAACCCAACCCAAATTTGCCAACAAAATAATTGAATGGACCATGCCTGCAAACGAGACACGAGCAAGCCAACACCACAACCTACAAAATCATCACACCACCAACACCAAGCAATGAAGCACCACGGCGACGGACACGACCTGCCCCGTGCCCCCGCCAATAAATAAATCGAAAAGAAAAATGAGGGTGGAGTGGAGAAGCGGCAGCGGAACGAGATGCAGAGAGAGAGTGAGGGAGAGTGGCAGGCAGGAGCAGGAGCAAGAGGCCAAGAAGGCCACAAGAGGCAGGCAGGCAGGCACCAACCGGCTCAGAATTCTTCAGAAAGATGGGAACTTGGCGCATCGCTGCTTGAGGTACACGGCGCAGCCGTCCTTGGGCACGATGGTGGGCATGTACACCGGGTCGTCGCACCCGGGCGTCCTGTCCCGCCGGAAGTCCACCACCGACACGAACAGCGCCATGAACAGGACGAGGTGGTTCAGCGCGTACCGCTGCCCGACGCACTGGTGTGGCCCAGCGCCGAAGGCCAGGAAGTTGCGCTTGTACGCCACGTCCTCCCGCCGGCTCTCCGAGAAGAAGCGCTCCGGGTCGAACGCCTCCGCCTCCGGGAACCCCTGGAACGACGACTCGTACACGGATGGGAACACGATGGCGCCCTTGGGCACCGTGTACCACTCCGTCAGCTGGAACGGCTCCCCCGCGATGTGCGGCACCATCGTGGCCGGCGGGCGGTGACGGATCACCTCCCGCGCCACCGCCTGGGTGTACCGCATCCCCTGGATCGTCTCCGCCGTCATCGGCTCGCCGGAGTCCGGGGACCAGGCTGCCGACACCTCGGCGCGCACGCGGGCGAGAACCTCCGGGTGGGAGTCCAGCGCCGACACCGCCCAGCAGAGGGACGAGGTGGACGCGTCCTGCGCCGCGAACAGGAAATCGAACATGAACCCGCCGATCTCCTCGTCGTCGGTGTGCGCGGGCGGAGGGCGCCCCGCCGCCGCCGCCTCGTCGATCTCGCGCAGCGTGTCCTGCATCCAGAAGTCCACCAGGCACTCGGGCTCGCCGCCAGCGCGCATCCGCGCCTTGCTCTGCCGCGCGCACTCGCCCAGCGTGCGCACCAGCCGCGCCACGCCCTGCCTCGCGCGCCGGAACGCGAAGCCGGGGAGGTCCACGGGCAGCGCCATGAGCCCGACGTTGAAGAGGTTGTAGTCCCGCTTGAACCGCCGCCGGGCCTCCCCGGTCAGGTACGGCCCCACGAACACCGTCTGCGAGGTCTCCAGGTTCATATCGCGGCAGGGCACGCGGAAGGGGAACGCCCTGCCCCTGCCCTCGCCCTCGCCCTCGCTCCGGTCGAGCCACCGGCGGAGGTGCGCCAGGATGACGCGCTGCTGGAGCGCGGCGTAGGTGGACAGCGCGCGCGGGGTGAAGTTGGGCGCGATCCGGCGCCGCAGGTCCTTGTGGTCCTCGCCGAACATGTAGATGAGGTTGTGGTCGCCGAACAGCTTCTTGCCGAAGGGGTGGCCGATGAGGTGGAACGCGTCGGGGCGGACGTTGGCGAACACGCGGTGGGACAGCTCCGTGTCGCGGATGAACACCACGAACCGCCCCACCAGGAAGTCGGCGGCAAGCCCCACGCCGGACCGCTTGGCGCGCGCCGCCTGCGCGTCCCAGAACCCCGTCGGGTCGCGGATCATGTGCGCCACGCTGCCGAGGAACGGCACGACGAGCGGCGGGCCGGGCAGCGGCCCCTTCTTCCGGTGGTAGGACAGCTGCTCCACCAGGAAGTAGAAGGCTACCGCGGCCACCAGGAACGGCGCCGCCGCGCGGAGGTCCAAGGAACCGGAACCGGACACGGACAGAGACTCCGCCGCCGCCGCCATTGCTCTCCTCCGGCCGCTACCAACCACGCGGAACGCTGACCACGAACAGCAACGGCCCTAGCAGCCGCAGCCGCTGCTACAGGTCAATTTATCCTGAGGGCGAGGGCTGAGGCTCGTGGGGAGCTCGAGCTCGCCTCTCCCTCTCCTTTGACGCGCGGATGGAGTTCCAAAGAGGTGTATATTTATGCGACGCGAGCGATGGGCTGGAAGGGAAGCGAAGGTTGGAGCGGGAATCTGCGGTCAAAGGCTGGCGGGGAAAGGAAAAGGAGGCGGCCTTTTCGCCTGGCTGGCACGGCCGTGGCGGATTGGCTGATGGCCGCGGCCCGCCCGGGGTGGAAGAAACGAGGACGAGGAGGACGACGACGGAGCCGCACAGGGAGTCAGGGACAGGACAGGCAGGGGCTCTCCCTAGGCTGGCTTTGCGGCTGCGGATAGGAATTCCTTTCACGGAATGAGAAGTGGGGAGGGAAGGGATCCCATCCCAGGTTAGCGGCGACAGGGGCGGAACGGCTAACCGCCTAAGGCCTCGTTAGGTTGAGGATGGGAACCATTCCCGCCCGAGTTTCGTTGGACAATTTGAATAGCATCGGAACTGTTCCGGTCGGAAACAGCGATAACCGAACAGGCCCTAAGGCCTCATTCGGTTGAGGATGGGAACCATTCCCAGCCGAGTTTTCTTGGACAATTTGAATAGCGTCGGAACTGTTCCGGCCGGGAACAGCGATAACCGAACAGGCCCTAAGCCAGAGAATTTGGAAGCCCGTTTCTTCTTCACCGTGCGTGCACGGATTTTTGCCCAAGAAAAGCCCCAATTTTCTTCAACCTCGTCTTGGGTTTGTTTTTTCAACCCTGAAATTGGAAGCCCTTTTCCTTACAACAACCTACTCCACCTATAGCACAAACTCCATTTCAAACCACAAGCATCAAATCAAACATCATGAAGGCTAGGAAATTAATAAAGTATTACTTCCTCCGTTTTAAATTATAAGACGTTTTGGCTTTTCTAAACACATAGTTTTTGTTATGCATCTGCATATACTACATCTAAATCTAGAGTAAAAGTAATATATGTAACACCTCTGGTGTTACGAGCTCGCTAAGCACTAAGATTATAGCCTGAGAAATAGATCTATAAGTATAGTGAGTTAGTTTAATCAAATGCGATAATGAAATTCTAATAAGAAAATAAGAAAAGTAGTTTTAATTGTTTGGCACGAAAAGCGATTTCTATAAACAAGAATAAAACATAACTTGTATTTAGTACTTAAATAAAAATTGAAGTACAAGTTTTGTAGATGGAAATGCAACATTAACTTTTGGGAAACAAAGGGTGTTAATTAGTGTTCTTGGAAGCTCAAAAATCAAATTGGAAATTAAAATTAGCCCTTTTGTTGAATTGGCAAAAATTTGAAGTGGTGTTAAAAGTATCATTTTTGACGAATTATATTGAACAACAAGTTAATTAGTTCAAAGATGTTTTGTTTCTACGAGTTAATATGACGTATGGACTAGTGTATGAAATGTGTAGTGGTTGGGATTAATTAGGTTTAGGCATATTAAAAGTTACGGCAAAAAAGCTAAAGGTTGTTAGTTCTAGCTAAGTTCTTATTCTCTCTAAGTCGGAAACGATGATAGTAGACAATGCCGTTTTGATAATCAAATTCTAACAAAAATTGTTAGGCGTCAACTTCATGTTCTTGTACCGTTGGTTGCCTCTAGTCGAGTACTTGAGCATGGCTTAGGTGATAGTGGTGTTGGGTGTCACGATACTCTCATAGAAATTGTCCTAACTTCGCTAGAACACATTGAGGTAGGCTGTTGGCGCTCTACTCCTGAGCCAGCACCAAGCGTGACGACCTCACGTTGGCATCTCTATATTTTCATCGCGGGTCACCCTTCGCCGTGCTGGTTGCCTGGTTACTGTAACGTCCTGCCTCCTCGAGGCCAGGCCCGCTTACATCTGATAGCTTTCCTAGGACATAGACTGCCCTCACAGACCAACACCAGTCTTTTCTGCGCACTTTGTCCTCACTCATGCGCCCCCGGGAAGAACTTCCCGGTCGGTCACCCATCGCTTCAGGCCAAGCACGCTTAACCTTGGAGTTCTTAAGAGATGGGCTTCCAGAAAAGAAGTTACAACTTGTTGGTACGAGTATCCTATTAATCATATTAAGCCTCGAAGTGGGGTGTTACATCTCTCCCCTTAGGAGACCAACGCCCTCGCTCGGTCAACCCTGTGCCAGAACGTCCCCTCTTGGCCACGTCCAGTGTGTCGGTGTCAACAAGATGCATGTGCCATCTTTCAAGCGACCACTCTGGGTCCACACCACCATGCGCACCATGCTGCAAGAATCGACACACGCATCCGTGAAACCGCAAGGGTTGGCTCTGATATCATTCTATAACGTCCTGCCTCCTCGAGGCCAGGACCGCTTACATCTGATAGCTTTCTAGGATATAAACCGCCTCACGCTGACCAACACCAATCACCACTTTGTCCTCACTCATGCGCGACTTTTGTCTCACTTTGTCTCACTCATGCGCCGGGAAGAACTTTTTGGTCGGTCACCCATCGCTCCAGGCTAAGCACGCTTAACCTTGGAGTTCTTAAGAGATGGACTTTAGAAAAGAAGTTGCAACTTGTTGGTACGAGTATCCTATTAATCCTATTAAGCCCTGAGCCGGGGTGTTACAGTTACGCAGTCCTTAGGGGCTACAAGAGTCTCGAGCTCTTGCCTTAATCTCAACCGAGCTATAACAGGTGGGTTTCCAAGCTTTAAAATGCGTGCACGTCACCTGTTATCACCCCTCGGTCTAGGTTTGCGGTCACCGCACAAGATGAGCTTATTTGTTGGCGCCAGCTCGCACCGTGCGTCTTGCCGTCTTCTTTGGTTGGGATTCACGCGCTGGCGGGCGCGCCACAGAACGTTACTTACCTGGCGTTTGCCGACCCTGATTGGTTGAGGCCGAGCTTCCATTGCCACGCGCATGTCGCGCTTGGGCGACTGGCCGTGGTGCCGCGCGTACGTGGCTTGGCTAACGTGGCATCCGCCTCACCCTTCGATCCACCTACCACGTCGTACCGAGCATGATCCATGGCTTGCCGCGTCTAGGTCGCCAACCCCGGTAGCCGCGGTGACAAGACGTCTCCCTGCCCCGCCCTGCTAGCCGACGCCGACACGATCTGCTCGGGTTCGGCCGCTCCAATTCAAGCGCGTCGCGCCAAGCTCTCCCCTATTTCATGGCCTGTGTGCACATGCTCGGGCCGCAGCTAGCGGTCGGAGCCACCGTCTTAATTCGCTTGAGCTCACTCGCATACCTCTCCACGGCACGACCTTGCGAGCATCATGATGCCGCCCAGTGGTTCACCTAGCCAGGTCCCCACAGTCCGATTCCTCGCACCAGTAAGAGGCATAGGAGGTCAACTAGGCGCCCCATCTTTCCCATGCCCGGCCAAGCGTTACCGACAACCAATTTAGCGTTTTGCCCGCCACCGGCAATGGGCGCCGTCGTAGCCCATGGATCGGGGGTAAGTCCCATGGGGGAAAGAGCCCAATTGGTGGTGTTTCTGGACTCGTGTTAATCTCCTCTAGCTGGTGCTCATGACAGGTTGGTTTGGTTTCTAGTCGTTGGCGACGTGATGCGTCGGTGCCGCGCTCGGGGCGTCGCCGCGCGGTGCGGGCGCACGTGGCCAGCCTACGCCAGCGCTCCCCTGCTTCAATCGTCATTGGAGCGTGCACCTAGGTGAACTACTGATGCTCCACCGCCACCTCTACCCTTTCGAGAGCGCGTAGGTTCGTCGGAACAGGCACGCCGCCGCCGCTCCCGGTAGTACGCCGTTAAGTCCCTAACCGCCACTCATGCTTGCGGATTTGGCCATAGATGGTGGTCGGCCCGTTATTCCTGTCGCAGCGGGTCTAGCTTGCCTGGTGTTGTCGCCGTTGCCACCGGTGTGCTGTGCCGTTGCGCGCGGGTACGCCGAGGGCTGCCCCGATGCAAAGGCAGCACATTCCAGGGTCTTTAATGCAAAGCCTGAGTCTGTAGTAATAGTGCTCCGTTGCTCCATTTGATTAACCGAAAGCCCGAGCCCTCTTTTGCAAAAGAGCTGCGCGCACGCGGGTTCCCCCGCCTTGGGCCGTTGCTAGGTCGGCTACTACACGCGCTCGCGTCGCCGTGCTGGGCCGCCGGGCTGGAAAGGTTGCCATCGGTCCTTTTCTTTTTCTAAAGTGTTTTCTAAATTAGTTTCTAGGGTAAATTTGTAAATTCAAGATAAATTTGTGTAGATGTCCAAAAATTATGAAACTAATTTTGTTAGACTCCTAAAATCAGGATCTATATGCTAGTATATTTTGTTCACATAGTTTTATAATATTCTTAGAAGCTATATAATTAATTTGAGATACTTAATATTGTCAAAATATAAACTTGTAGGAATTGTTGTGGTAAATTGGTAATAGTGTTGGCTCTGAAATTTTTACAGTGGATTTCTAGAATTATTAGGTGCTCACTGTAATTTTTGTAGCTCCATAGGAATTAGTTTGTTAAGGTAACTAAATGAGCCCTAGTACGAAAATATATATTTAATCAATCAAATGTAAAAAATAATCGGGGGTTTGTAGAATGAAAACATTTTCCAGGAACTAGTCTTACTTGATGATGTGGATACATAGACTAGCATGTTAGAGTTATCTTATTAGCTTGTGAGGCATAATCAAATTTCTAAGAGTTTCGGTTATCATTGATTATTTACATCTACGTGTTGCATCCACGTATATCATAATAGAAACAACGATGGATCATGGAGATGACTGAAGTAGCAGAAAAGATGGTGCCTTGATGATTGTGCCACCATGATGGAATGCTAACTTTTGGTTATATCTAACCCAGGCAAGCCCCGATGCATAACCCCTATTATTTTGCACTTTATTTAATGCTCGTGCATTAAGTTTTAAGGAGTTGAATGAAAACCCACTTGCATATATATCCTTATCCTATGAGTT